AGACCAGAAATCAGCATTCCCATATTTCCTCCCAAAAGTCCTTACCCCTAGATTACTCCTAGCTATAACAGTTTAATACATTTGAACCTTGTCCATGTTTAACGACTGTATTAGAATAATGAGACTCAGCCCTACCTCTCCCAATTCAGCCTTGTGCCCCAGGACATCAAAGACATCACCTGCCAACCACACACATTCCAGAAGAGAGATAAAGAGAGAACATTAGAGCTGATATTTCAGAGCAAGATGGGGGTAGGGAGCAGAGGGAAGCTTTCCATCAGGCACATGGAGCCGTGAATCCAAATCTTTCAAATAGAATTACTTACATCATAAAACTAATTCTAAGGGCAACTTGGGACGATAGCTCTTGCCGACTCTGAAGGAGCCATCCCATATTCCACCCAACTCACAGCATTCTCCCCAAAGACAATTCTCATTCTAGTACTCATCCATGCTTCCCAAAAGCCTCACATTCTACCAGGTCCACACTTAAAAAAAAACCCAAACAATCCAAATGGTGGCCATTATGATAAGGTTAGTGCAAGCAGCAGTCACTACAGGGACTTAAGCTCTGCAAAACTATCAACTCGTCTCCATGCTGTGCCAGCAGCTCAGCTACAAGGGCTGCTATAGCATGGCAGTCAATCTACAGGGCACGTAAGAAAACCCAAGGCCATCTCCCAGAGACTCACAAGGCCCCTGTGCAGCAGGCAGAAGGCACTGCCTGCAGATCCACTCAAGAGTTCAGCCTAGAAGTGCCACTCAGTGGCCAGTTTCTCAGGCTTCCTATCAGCCAAGAACTCCCCCGTACCCTGGAGCTAGGACCAGGGCAACAACATGAACAGAGCATAAGGGAAGAAATATTCACGTCACCTATCCCAACAGACACTTAAAATTGACCCTTTCATGGGCCTTTGTTGCAGTCCACATCAGGAAAAGTAAATTCCCCAAATAATGAAAAAACCCTCCAGTTGAGGGCTAACCCTCTAAATCCCCTCCCACACTCTGAACTCAAACACCGGCTAGGGCCTCACCATAGCTTCGTCCATAGATGGAACATTTATTGAAGATCATGATATTCTGCGTGAGGGTGCCTGTCTTATCAGAGAAGATGTACTCCACTTGACCCAGCTCCTCATTCAGCGTGGTGGTGCGAGCCTCTGCAGGCGTCCGCTTCTTCACACAATACATCTTCTTGTCCCAGTTGATGAAGTAGCTATGGCCAAGGCGGATCACTTCCACACTGCATGGGGCAGGGGCAAGGGAGGAGAAGGAGATAAAGCTTAGAACCACCTCCAAAGACCAAAATCTCTAACAGGATGAGGGAGAAGGAACACCACCCCCATGTACCACAGGGCATTCATTAGCTGCAGACTTCTACCAAGGACATCTGCCAGGGGAGAAAATGAGAATGATGCAGGAACCTGGGAGCAGGAGGGGAAAACCGTGCCCAGGGATGGGGCTGGCCACTTATACATGGCAAAGGAACCACCCCAAACCCTGCCCTCGAGTCTCTCTCCAGACAGAAAAGTGGAAAAGACCAGAGCAGGCAGGAGGACCACAGGTAAAGGAAGAGGAAGGGCTGCTAACTAGAAAGGGAACTTCGTTCTTACCTCAGGGCTAATAATGACAGAAACCATGCAGAGAAAAAAACAAGAGAAAATATGAGAGGGAAGAAAGAAAAGAGAAAAATAGTGAGGTTGCTGGGCATGCCAGGGCAAACTGCATTGTGGAAAGAACCAAAAAGAAGATTCCGGACAAGATTTCTTGACCTCCCAAATGCAAGGCAGGAATGGGTCTTATAACCTGGTTTTTGAACCCCATACCTACTCTGAAGCACTCTGAAAGAAGAGGTAGGGAACAAGGAAACCTGGAGGTCAATGCCACTGCACATATGCCAAGTTTTTGGCGGGGTTTTCTTTAACTTTTCAAAATGTTTTTATATCTTTTGTCTCTAATTACCTGGTGGATATGGGCAGTTGGCATTTTCAGAAAAAATCCTATTTCTAGCAGAAAATAGAAAGCTAAAGAGACACTGAACTCACGTCATCCTAGTACCCTGTTCCCAACCCTGATTACAGATCCTATCAAAATTCAATTAAAGTACTAGGAAAAATCTGACTATCAATGAAATCTCCTAGAAACAAATACTCTGCTCAATTTACCAAACACCCCCACCACCACATTTCAACCTGATGAGGCTTTTTCTTGACTGAGATCAATGAAATGCCTAATCTTAAGCCCAGAGGTCTAATACTGAAATATACCTCTCTCCTCTCAGTAGAGAGGTGGTGAGCTACAAGTGAAGAATGAAGTGTCATACACGGTCAATTTTTCCATGTGTTTTGCTTAAATGTACTTTCTTTGTTACAAAGAAGGTTTCTTCTGGGTAGGCTATTCAGAAGAGACAGTAATATAAAAGGAATCGTTTTAAACCTTTGCAACACACACCAACATACATTATAAAGAAGCTTCATTCCCTCTCCTTACCCCCAACAAGAAAGAACTTTTCTTGGGCAGCCATTGAGGACACAGAGAACGCTCAGAAAAAAGAGGTAGGAGCCATCTTTTGTTAGTAGCCCAAAGGCTCAAGCCTGAAAGAAATCAGGCTCTGATCGAGCAAACACTTGAGCAGTATATACAATCATGCTTCTCCATGCTACTTGCATAGTATTTTGATTTTTAAGTGCTTTCCAATCTATTGGCTCCTTTACTTTTCTCAATGCTCCTGTTAAGTAGGTAGAACAAGTATTATCAGTCTCATTTTTCACGTGAGAAAACGATTCATTGGGATGTTATAAATGACTTGCCTGTGGCCATATGGCTAATGAGTGGCACAGTTAGAACTAGAACCCAGAGCTCCACTCATCTCTGGGCTCATTTCTCAAAGTAAAGGCTCTTCCTTCCTTTTGGATCCCTCACCATCAATTATGCCACTGCCAGAACACAGTACATGGAAGACTAAGGACTGTTTTAATGAGTCAAAACAAAAGAAAGCAGACCTGAGAAGTTTTAAAAAAAACAACAACAACAAACTACTACAAATTCTCAAGTCCAAGTCATTTAGAAAGACATGAAAGGTACACGATCATAAATTTTCAAGATTAGAAGGGATCTTGGAGATCATTTGGTCCAAACCCATCAATGGAAGAGTCCAGACAAGCGAAGAGACTTGCCCAAGGTCACATTGCCAGGCAATGGCAAAGCCAATATGGGAAGCCAGGCCTCAGGGCTCCAAGGCCAGTGTTCTTGCCAATGTACCACATAAATCCTTATCTTTCTCTGCTGATTCTCACTCCAACCTATTTTCACATAACTGATTTCTCCTAAAGAACCACTATTACATATCACTTCACTACTTACAAACTTTCAGTGGCTTCTCAAGGCCTATTGAATAAAGTAAAATTCCTCAGAGCCTCACATGCAAATCTGTCTATAGCTTGGATCTCACCTGTCTATCCAAGCTTACCTGTCTTTACTGCCCAATGTATATCCCATGATCTGACCAAACCAGAATATGTATTATCTCCACAAACCTTGCCTCCTCCTGATTCTATTCCTGCCTTGATTCCCTTCACTTTTAATACCTTCAACTCTCATTTCTGTTATAATATTACTCAGCCTTCAAATGCCATCTACTCCAAGAAGCTTTCTCTGCTCCCAGGGAAAGTAAGTAATCCAGTAGTAATTTCTTTCTTCTCTGAACTCCCATGGCATTTTCTTTGCACATTCATTCCATAATGCCATATACCAAAGTTATTTATGCATAGGTTTGGTAGGTTATACGCTCCTGAAGGGCAGGGACAATGGTGTTCAAAGTGCCCAGTTCGATGACCTGAACATAGTAGACAGTATATGTTAAATTTGTTTAATTAATTTGGTTTTCATACAATGTATCACAAAATATCTAGTTACTGTTATGAGAGGTATGATACAAAGATAACCAGGTAATGTTAATGTTTCACCTTTTTGTCCTATGAGGACTCCAAATTACTTTCTTTGGAATTATAACAGACTCATAAATATGAAGTATGGCTAAGGAGGCTCCTGATATTTCCAGGCAGAGAAAGCACATACCTGACATAGAGTGAAATGGGTACCACAGTGTTGAGGATGATTATGTAGGACCAGAAGGAGAGAAAGCCGGAGAAAAAGGCACTGTCCACTGCCTCATCCCATGGCAGGTAGACCTGGAAGCGTGCTCCGACCTCATACTCCCAGATGGCGTTACCGATAGCCAGGATCACCCCCATGCAGACCAAGAAGCCAAAGATCTATTGGAGAAAGGATGGGGGCTCAGCTCTCCTTGACAGGAAAAGGTCACCTTACTACCATGTAACTACTCCTAGCCAAATGCCAACGAGGTTGAAAGAAGGTACTACTTCCACTCTGATGACCCCTCAAACAGGAGGCAGCTTCCCTGCTTACTTGGGATAAATCTGAAGTTCACAAAGCTGAAAATGTTAGTGTTCACAAGGGCCACCAGGGGGCGATCCATATCCACTGAGCGCCAATTTCTGCCATATTAACTCAGGCGAAGTCTGCCAACAGCCTGATCAGGACCAGGGCGGAAGCTCCTTCACCACAGAAGTTGGCGTCAGGCTTCCTAGAGTGTGTCGGGTGGGCAGAGGGGCACAAAAAGGGGAGCAGTACTCAGATTTCTAATGAGGCAAGAGAGAATTTTAGAAACCGCCAGAATTAAGTCGGAAATTTTCCCTCTGGGACTCTATCCTAAGAAGGGGTAAAAGAAAGACCCCATTATTCCCCTCCAAAATAGCAATGTTTTCTACATAAGTTCTTCCCCACTCCAATGCAGGTACTGTAATCAGTCAAAGAGAAAACACCCTAAGGTCTGGCCCCCTGTCTCTTGCTGAAAAGCTGCATTAGGGCACATGCCATACTAGGTCATCCACACATCTGGTATCCAGAGGAGGAGATCCACTGTAATTGTTTTTGTTGTTGATTTGTGCATGTTATAAGGTTCTTGTAACATTTTCCAGATCTAAGAGATCCTGAAATAAACACAGGCTTTGACTGAATGTCTTGCCAGTGACTTTTAAACCAAAACTCAAAACTGGAATGATCACTATGGAAAAGAGACCACAGGAAATACAAAAGCACCAGCAGCATCCAGCCTTACCCAGAGCACCAGCGTATTCATCAGCCGGTCAATGCTCGTCCTCTTGAACTTTGTCCTACCACTGTTCTGCATCAACTTTGTGTCAGGACCTAAAAGAAAATGGTAAGTTGGGAAAATTAAATGAGAGACTTTCCTGAAAGATTCTATCCTCATTTCCAGAATGTAGAACTCACCAAAAATTCAGGCAAATGCAGGTCACATTGCTAAAATTTGGGGTTGATATCCTTGCCCTTACACATCCTATCAGCCTCAAAGTCCTTCCTGTCACACATCTCAAGCACTGGGTTGAATTCCTTACTGTCTCTCACTCAATTCCTTGGCCTTTGGGAAGCTCACCTGCAAAGATGACCAGCCCAAAGCACCACTCAGTGTTGCGGAGCACACACCCCCGAAGCAGCATATTCTGGTTGCTCAAAGGGAACTTGTTCTCCTTCCAGTAAAGGGTGCCACTGAACTTATCCAGCTTGTTGTTGGGGGGTTCACAGATAACTTCACCTGAAGTGAGGACAACAGTGTTACTGGCCTAGCCACGGCTGACATTCCAAGAAGCAACCAAACTGGGAGAAAAAAATAGCCTAGTATCAAAACTCCAAGCCTCTCCCAGCACACATGGCAACAGCAGGAAGCTATAACTCATGACGTTTTCACAAACAAACCTCCAAGTTATAGATTTCAGTGGATATAGCCAAAAGCTTTAAAAAGAAAAAAAAAGAAACAAAGAAAAAGAAAGGATTGAAACACATTCCCACCAACCCACCCAATCCTGGCCAAAGACTGGCTCTCCTAGTTCTACTTACCATCAAATTTGGCTAGCTTATTGATGTCCCCCAGTTCTGAGGTCACAGGAATCGCCTGTCGTACTTTCATGTTGGTCTCCCTGGAATGATAGTTCCTCAGAATTCTAACTTCCTTCTCCCCTACATTCTGCCCATGGGCACCATAGAGGGTCTGCCTGTTCAACCCTGCTTCCAAAACCCCTCTCATCCCTCAACTCCCAAGTAAGTACAGAATCAAGAACGAAGAACATCTTACCAAATCACTTTTTTAATCACAGTAGGAAATGAGATGTGAGGTTTGGGATAATACATTTTTATGCCACTTACCCATCTAATTCTGCTGTCTCTATGTAGCATAATCCATGGGGTTCACTACTGGAGAGGAGAAGGAGATCCGCCTGGAGAGAGAATTCCATGAGGAAGTGATGGTAATCCTGCAACCCCAATAGCATCATTCACTGCCCCCAACTTAGATCCTATTGCAAAAAGTTCTGGGTCTGCTTACATACTTGAAAATAAAAGAAACAGAATGTGGGCCAAACCTCATGGTAAAAAAAACAATACAGAGGTTGCACTCAGAAAATATTTCTTCTATATTTTTTTAAAGAGGGAAGCAGTCAGTTAGTCAACAAGTAAGTATTAAGCATTTACTGCATTTCAAGGTCCGGGCTAAGCTCTGGGGATACAAAGAAAGGAGAAAACAAAACCAAAAAACAATCAAAAACCAGTCCCTGCCCTCGAGGATCTCATCTTAATGGGGGAGGTACATGTACATGATGTAAGGTAATCTCCAAGGTGAGGACACTAGCAGCTAAGTGTACCAAGAAAAGCTTCCTGCAAAAGGTGAGATGTGAGGTGAGTCTAATAGGAAAACAGGGATGGAGCCGAAGATCACAGCATCTCAGGCATGGAAGTCAGCCAAGGCAAAAGCACAGAGTTGGGAGAAAAAAAGTATCACGTACAAAGAATAACAAGCCAATGTAACTGGATCTTAGGGCATGTGGGGGTTAGGGAAGGGAGTAAGGAATAAGAAGATCTGCAAGGCAGGAAGAGGCTAGACTGTGAAGGATTTTAAAAGCCAAACAAAATATCCTATACTTGATCCTGGAGATATCAGGGAACCACTGGAATCTACTGAGTGAGAGGGATGACATGGTCAAATCTGTGCTTCAGGAAGATCACTTTGTCAGCTTAGTGGAGAATGGATTGGAGCAGGGGGGGACTTGAAGCAGGGAGGTCAATTAGAAGGCTATTGTAATAGTTCAGCTGACAGGTGATGATGGCCTTAATTACAATGGTAGCTCTGTGAGTGGATAGAAGGGGGCATAACAAAGATGTTACGAAAGCAAAAATAATAAAATCTGGCAGTAAATTGGATACATTAGGGGTGAGAGTAAAGCCTTTCAAAGGTGACCCTGAGGTTGTGAGTCTGGGTGACTAAGAGGATAGTGGTACTCACAACAGCCATACGAAAGGACAGAAAAGGGGAACATCTGGAGGGGGTGGAGATAACAAATTCAGTTTTGGAAATGTTAAGCTTGTGATGCTTATAGGACAGTGAGTTCAAGATGTCTCAGAAGCAGTTGTTAATACAGGAGTGGAGGACAGGAGAGAGATTAGGGATGGATATATAGATCTGAGAATCATCTGCATGGAGACAATAACAGAATCCATGGGAACTGATAAGATCACCGAGTGAGACAGTAGAAAAGGGGGAAGAAAAAAGGCCCAGGACAGAGTCACAAGGGATAGCTATAGTTAGCAGATTTGACATAGATGAAGAACCAGCAAAGCACATTGAGAATCAAGAGAGAGCAGTGTCAAAAAGAAAAGAAAACAAACAAACAAAAAAACCCAGAGGGGATCGAGGAACAAAAAGTCATCAACTGTATTAAATGCTGCAGAAAGGGAAAGCCAGATGATGAGAATTGAGGAAAAGTCATTAGATTCATCAATAAAAAAACAACAGAAATTTTGAAAAAGGCAGTTTCAGTTGGAGGAAGCTAAATTACAAAGGATTTAGAAGCAAGTAAAAGAGGAAGAAAAGGCACCAAGGAGAAAGCTTTCTCAACCAGCCAATGATTTTTCCAACAGGAGGAGAGATATAGGATTACAAATAGCAGAGATAGTGGGATCAAGTAAGAGGTTTGTCGTTTTGTTTTTTAAAGGATTTTAGAAGACACAGGCATGAAGGCACTAGAAAAGGACCCAACAGATATGGAGAAATTGAAGACTAAAAAGAGAGAGGACACGATAGTGGGGGCAATCTTCTGGAGAAGATAGGAGGGGATGGGATCAAGGGTGCATGTAGAGGGACTGCACTTGGCAAGAAGGGCTACTTCTCCACGCAAAACCAGAGTAAAGGAGGGATAATAAGGAGGAACTCTTGGCAAAACAGCCTTAATTTGTTCAGTGAAGTGTGAAGCAAGGTCCTCAGCTGAGGGAGGGAGTGACACGAGATGTGAGGGGAGACCAGAAGATTTGGAACAACCACAGTGAAGAGCGGGACACTAAATCAACTAGGGAAGAGTAGAATGATTGCCTTGTTGCAGTGAGGACTCAGTTCAGATTAGATAATACAAATGTGTAGTATACCCAGTTTCATGATTTCCTCCAGCTCTGTTCAGCAGCACATGAATAGAAGCAAAGAAGGCAGATGGTAGGAGTAACTCAGGGTTGAGATTTGGCAAAGCATGGTCAGCAATAAAACAGAGGGAAAGAAATTCAAGAGTAGAAGTTAGTGTGAAGTTGAATTGGTTCACCAAGAGATGACAATAGCTATCATTTATAAAGCACTTCAAGGTCACAAAGCCCTTTATAAATATCTCATCTGAGGCAGCTAGATGACACAGTGGATAGAGCTCCAGCCTCGGAGTCAGGAGGACCTGAGTTCAAATCCAGCCTCAGACACTTGACACTTACTAGCTGTGTGACCCTGGGCAAGTCACTTAACCCTGATTGCCTCACCAATAAATAAATAAATGAATGAATGAATGAATGAATGAATGAATAAACAAACAAATAAATAAATAAATAAATGTCTCATCTTATCCTCATAACAGCCCTGGAAAGTAGATGCTATTATTACCATCCCCAATTTACAGAGAAGAAACTAAAGCAGACAAAGATTATATGACTTGCCCAGGATCACACAGCTAGTAAGTGTCTTAGACTGCATTTGAACTCAGGCCTTCCTGACTCAGGTCCAGTGCTCTATCCACTGGCCACTTAGATGGGAATAAAGGGTAGTATCCTAGTCAGTGCAGGCATCTCTAAATGGAGTAACCATCCTATTCTGCCAAAGGTTAGAAACATTCTCACATGCCCAGAATGTTGCCCTGTTTCTTACCGCCACAAACTGGTTGTTTTCTAGCTTTATAATATCACCAACACGGACATTCATCCATTGTTCTTGCTGAAGGCTGCAGAGGACAAAGAGACAAAGATATGCAGCATCAGAGACTAGTCTAGTTCTTTTTTTGTGAGACGATTGGGGTTAAGTGACTTGCCCAGAGTCACACAGGACTAGACTGGTTCATGAAGAGGTACCATCTACGCCCAAGCGTCCTTCCTTAGGTAGGTACTTACATCCCACTGATCAGCACCTGAGACTGCCGGTTATTCACCTGGTTATCACTCTTGTGGCGGAACTGAAGAGAAAAGAAAGACCCAAACAGATGAAGGACACCATATTCCCCAGCTCCTTTTCACCTCCCAGTTATCAAGATTAAGATGGTTTTAGGTGATGACTAGAACAAAGACTGCCCAGAACAATCCCATTTGGTCCCAGGTAGTTATACTCCAAATGGGCCAAGTTAGCCATGCCAAGATATCCACTAACTTTTGTTGGGAGGACAGTGTAGAGAATAGAGGATGGAAAACAACTCACATAATCATCAGTGGCATCTTTTACAGCTGTGATGGTAAGGACAAGAACCAAAGGCACAATGGTGGTGAACCAAGACAAGGAAGAGATCTGTGGGATCAACTACAAAGGAAAAAAACATGTATTCTTCTATTGCCTTGCCTTACTTCTCTCATCTGCTTCTCTACCTTCCTCTGCTTTTCTGAGGTTAGTGGAGCATACAGTATAACAGTCACTCACCTGCAGAATGAGGAGGAACAAGAAGTAGGTATTGGCAACTTCCTGGAACTGTTCAAAGAGGTTGACAGGCAGGAAAGTGACAATGTTGTACTTGGAGGTCTTGATGCAGTTAC